TCCAGGGAGTGGCAGCCTGGGTACGGGCTGCGCATGCGCTGGGGACGCTGCAGCGCTGGCGCAGGCACAAGGAGAGGTGGGTTGGGTGAGGACATGGGGGGGGACGGGGCAGGGAGCCAGGCGGGGGACGCCAATGCAGGCGCAGGAAGGGGAGCAGCAGCTATAAGAATGGAAGACATGGGGGATAAAAGGGGAGGGGGAGGGGAAGAGCCGGGGTACAGGGAAGCCAGGACGCTCGGGGGTGAGGAAGTATCCCGGGCAGAGGGATAACTGCTTGCGGGCTGGCGAGCTTCGGCGGTTAGCCCCATCAGCCAAGTGGGAGGCGTCCGGAAGGAGCACCCCCACCTTAGGGACCTGGGTTGGGGCCTGGAGAGAGGGCGGGCCCAGGCCCCTCTCAACCCCCCCGAGTGGGGGAGTGTGGGAAGAAGAAGTGTTCACGGCCACGCTAGCAGAGGGAACGCGGTCAGAAGGTCTGGGATGAGGACTAAGAGGAGGGAGCCCCAGGACAGGAGGGTGTGCAACCCTTCACAGGGAGGTTTCAGTGAGGCAGCATGGCCTCCTGATGACCCTGAAGAGGAAGTTCCTATAAAGGCCCCTTGGTGGGTTGTGCCAGAATGCCCCAGCCCCAGGAAACAGAAGGGTGGGACCAGAAGTATAAGACGGAGCTCCCAGCTCAGCTGGAGTCCAGCAGAGAGGAGACTTGGTTGAAGCTCCAGAGGTGAAGAACCTCGCCCCACCACAATGACTGGGTTGGGCCTCTGGGACCACTACCATGCCCCAAGAACTGTTCCAGGCTGCTGTGACCACTGCGAGACCCTGGTGATTATGGCAGGCTGCAGAGACCCCTGCTAAAGCCTGAGAACTATCCTAGGCCCCCAGGACCCAGACTGAGCCTGGAAAATAGGCCAGGGGCCCTGGACCTCTGCCTGAGCCACTGGTACCTATGGACACTATCAGCTCCTCTGGCGCCCTCAGAGCCTACTGACATGCCATTGAGCCAAGTAGAACCCCAGGGGGAGCTGACGCAGTGCTGGCCAAGGACATGGAGGTCAGCTGGGCTGCCTGTTGCAGTCCAGATCCCTGCTAGCTAACCCATTGACCAAGATTCCCACCAACACAGTGGCAGTTAGGTTCCTGGGCTGGGACATAGTGGAGCGCATGGGCCTGTGTCTTCCCCCTGCCACCCTTTCCGTTGGATAGCAGGTTCTCCCTGAATGGACAAACCACCTGCGTTCATCAGCTCTCCATCGGCTAAGAGGCCCAGTCCTGGCTCCATCTCCCGCCAGGCCTGAGCTTTGAAACAGTTAGTTTATACAGCCAGGCCCTGGGATCCAGAGTAGGGTGAACAAACAGTTAGTTTTTGTCTCTTTCCCAGCCCTGCCTGGGCCAAGACTTGTGACAGGGTAAAACTGTAGCAGCTGCAGAGAAGGGAAATATGAAGGGAGGGCACTAGGATCCAGGAGAGGCAGCACTGGGGAACTATAGGTGGTGAGGAAGAGAGAAGGAGGTAACACTGGGAGCTCTCACCCTCAGTCTTGTCATCAGAGGCTGTCTATTATAGGGCTGGTTCCCATTTAATAACACTTCCAAACAAGGGTGGTTCACTAGCAAGTCAGTAATGAACTGAATAATTTGTGTGCCTGCAGTCACCAACATAACCACCATTTAACTCTACTTCCACAAGCTCAATCATAGGGTCTAGCTCAGAACAGGGCTATGTATTCTCCCAAAATTAGGTTTAAAAAAAATAATTTAACAAAAAATTTTTGAAGACAGAACTTTAGGTAGAACTACACTCAAATTTTAAAATAGCATTTTTATGAGAGTTTAATTCAAAACAAAAGAAAGGTGGTAAAAGTAGGGTCAGATACACCCTTCTAACTATTATTTGTATTACTATCGCACCTACGAGCCCAGTCACAAACCAGCACCCTACTGCTGTACACAGAACAAAGAATGCCAGCCCCAAAGAGCTTGCAATCTTTTGCACATAATAGCACCTGACACACTCACTCAAAGTGCTTTGCAATGAAATCAGCCTCTCACAAACATTGCAGGAAGGGAAAGTAATATTTTCATTTTACAAATGGCAAAGTCAGAAAGTATCAGAAAGTACAAAAGAGAGCGGAGGATACACAGATCCTGACTCCCAAACCTATGTTTAACCATAACATCCTGCCCCTTTGGAGGATGAAAAGTGGAATTCTCACTTGGTGTGCTATGTCCTGACACTAGGAACAGATATAGCTCTGTTTGTCAGATTGAGGTGTCCAACTGCTGCTCTTTGAATGCCCTTTTGCGGTGTCTCACCTTCTCATAAACTAATCCAAATCTTAGGTATACATATGAGTAAACGGACAACTTACATTAATAAGAATATACCAGGCAGGAAACATTACAAACGTCTATTAGTGGGAAACTGAAAATGATCATAGAAACCTTCCCTTTTCTGTATGTCTATGACAGCAAATGCAGGCAGAAAGATTCTTTATACAAGTGTGCAGTAGACGGGACAATGTAGGAACTAGAACACATTGCAGTAACTCTGTGGCCAAAGTCAGCATCTGCTGAGGCTGACATGATGTATTTATAATGCTTAGGAAAAGTTTGTAAGGTGGAGAGTGAGTGAATAAGTCACAACAATCAGATTGCATTAGCTTGTAATTAGAACATCTGTGAGTTTACTCAGATTTATTAACTGTTTGAAACTGCTGGACATTTTTATTACCTCTTCAATAGCTCTGAAAGAATGTTTCATGTTAGTCACTGGAGGTTGGTTGGTTAGTTCCACAATTAAGTCACATATTACTGTGGAGAATATTTGTGCATGGAGATTTAAAATTTGGTGTTTACAACTATTTGCAAATGATACTAACATTTACTTTCTGCAGACACTTGTACCTTATTTCTATTAAACTAATGTTTGCAGAGAATGGCCATAAAAGCGTATGAGCTATGGTCAAAGGTAGCTAATTTAAAAATGTTAGAAAATAGTTATGGACTTTTTTGTCATTAACTCAACCTTATCAACATGGAATTGACCACAATAATTCTATCATAGGCTAAGGTACTTGTTAGTTGTATTAGTGGTGAGATTTTAAAATTTTGAATGGCAAAGCCCCATCTTTCACACAGGCTTCAACTAGCCTTCGTTCCTTGACACTTCATGTAAGACTGATAAAACAGCCCTGTTGAAAAAGCCAAGAGCTCTCTCACTTTTTATTTTGGGTTTCACACTGATGCTCCAGACCCAATCATTCTTTGAAATCAATGGGAATGTTGCTAAAGGATGACTAATACCCCTTTGTTTGTATTTCAGTGCGTAGGGCTAATCGTTTTTAACTTTGAATTGTGAGTTATAGTTTTAACACACCTAGCTATATAATAGGCTTTGGAAATGGAATCCACCTTGCTGAATGAGCCCAGCATTGGTGCAGGCTCCCTCCCTTCCACCAACTGTCCCCCGAGTCCCAGATCCCAGCTGGAAGGCACCGTGACCTGGTTGCTTAGGCCCTGTACCCAATCCCTACCTGTTGAAAATCCTCCACAATTTTACATGGAATGTTCCCAACAGCACTAGTAAGGGACATGAAGCATAACGTGTAATGGGATTTAACCATGGAAGAATACAAAGGTTACATTTCACATCAATTATTTGCTGAATAGTCCCTCTTTATATGCTGAATGCCCAAAAGATTACTACTAATCTAAAACTGCTGCAATTTTTAGTAATCCATTTGTAGGTCTCCTTTAAGCTATAACCTTAACCACATCAATTTCCACCCTACTATCAAATCTGACTTGTGCTTGTTTTCTTAAGCACATACACAATACTATTCACTCAAATCATATTAGTTCCTTTGGGTAAATACCTCTTTGGTGAAAGTTCCAACTATGAAGTATCAAGTATAACTACTTTCAGGGGTGGCCCGTGAGCCTAGGCAGACTAGGCAGTTGCCTAGGGCGCCGCCGGCTCGGGGCACCCGATGATGACGTCATGGCCATTGACGGCTGTGCAGGCAGGGGCGCCAATTGCACCTTCCACCTGGGGTGCCAGCTGCTGCAGCCCACGTTGGGTCACTCCTAACTACATTATAGACCTACAGAAATATAAAGGACCATTAAATTGACTGATTTGTTTATAATCCTCATGACAATTACAGTCTATCGAAAATTTCTCAATCTTCAAATATATATCTGTGCAGCTGTTGACTAATCAGTCTGAAAAATCCTTCAGCATGTCAGAAAAAAATGCAGGTACATGTAGCACGAATAACCATAACGAGGGCAGTCTAGTGATTATGGTACTGGACTGGGATACAGGATATCAAGAGTACAGTTCTCAACTCTGTCAGACTTCTATGTGATCACAGATGAGTCACTTCTCTCTCTCTAGATATCAGCTGTCTCATCTGTAAATTGCATAGACTACTTCACAGGTATATGCTGTGAGTAAGTTAGTTAATGTTTGTGAGGAGCTTCGATACTACAGTAAGGAGACCATGTACATACCTGATATCACCAGCTTTCCAGGCCATCGGACCTCTGCCTCGTTTCTCCACTTAGATATATTTTTTCAATAACCAAGCTGACATAACACATCATACTAGAAAAATCCACTTCCTTTTCACCTCAGATATGTCTACATTATGGGAACTATACTAGCTATGCTGGCACCATATGCTGGAACCATAGCTATGCTGGCATAACAGCATAGTGTCGACACAGCCTACTCTAATAGAAGGGGTTTTTGCTGTTAGTGGAGGAACACCACCTCAGAGTGTCAGAAACTTAGCCCTACCAGCATTTCTGGGATTGAATAGGCATATACCACATGATCTATTTTCCGATGATGTAAGCATTAGTGGATTTTAGTCTTTCCACGGTCTTCAAGGTTTCATATTCCAAAAGAGGAATTCGTGAGCAGGTGGTACAATCAAACTTCTAGTATTGCTATTTATAGTAAATGAGTCAAGAAATCCCTGTTACAATGACTAAGATGGCTAAAGAATAGATTTATTAAATGCCAAAACTCTAGTGCTACTAAGTGCCCTACTTACAATATTAAACAGATTTACAAATTAATCTGATCTCTTTTCAAATATATACAAGTAAACAAAGTCCTGCAAAAGCAGATAAAGTTGAAACAAAATAGCCATTTCTATTCTCCTATCTGAGGAGGCACAAGCAATCATATTTGTTCTCAACACTGAAGCTTCACTTACACTTTAAAAAGCAGCAGTTTCTCTGTTCTCCAGTTGGCATCCCTTCAAGGTAAGTACATACAGAGGCACAAGAATGAGCAGACACAAGCCTGTGCACATATTAACTACAACAATGTTGGCTGGAATGCTACCACAATATTTTTCAGCTTGACAAACACCAAAATTACTACAATAATCATCCTGTAAGATGTCTGGACATTCTTGAAAACAGCTTCACATTACGAGACACCCACCCTATGTAACTGTTTTGTTCTGTATTCAACTATCCAGACTCTTAGCAGGTGACCTGAGAGCCCAAACACTAGAATGCACACTCCTCAGGAAATGGCAGTCAGGGGCACTGCAGAACTGATACGCTTGTAGGGTTCTATCCACAATTCTCAGAGACCGCTCTACTGGCTATTTCCCTAAAACACTGCTGTCATTGGTCTTGGAAAATACACAGCAGGGAGGGCAAACTGTAGACCCAGTATAAAAAATTTGGAACTCCAGACAACCCAAGTGGTCTCTATTTATACCAGGACTGAGGCTGTCTGCATTGGGACCATGGGTGCACTTCCCAGCTAGTGTATGCATATTTTAAGTGATAAGTGCAGCATGAGTATAAAACAGCAGTGTAGCCACAATAGCATAGGCACTGGCAAGATGGCTAAGACATCCTCAGTACATACACCCGTGACATTCAGGCAGTCTGTACTCAGTATGGTTAAACCATGCTACTATGGCAATACTACTGTTCACTCTTAAGCCACCTCATCAAGTCAGAGTGAATGTGTATGAAAAATGGGAAACACAACTCTATAGCTTGTAGTGTGGACACAGCCAAAGTGTGGTCCATAGGACTAGCTTAAGTGCAACAATAGTGGCACTAATATAGAGACGGAAACTGGTGGGACCACAAGAGTATAAATGAGCAGACACAAGCCTGTGCACATATTAACTACAACGATGTTGGCTGGAATGCTACCACAATATTTTTCAGCTTGACAAACACCAAAATTACTACAATAATCATCCTGTAAGATGTCTGGACATTCTTGAAAACAGCTTCACATTACGAGACACCCACCCTATGTAACTGTTTTGTTCTGTATTCAACTATCCAGACTCTTAGCAGGTGACCTGAGAGCCCAAACACTAGAATGCACACTCCTCAGGAAATGGCAGTCAGGGGCACTCATTGTGTCTGCTCATTTATCAAAGACACTGGATCCAAGAAAAGTGAGATGCCTGTAGTCCAGCCCCATGAAAGTTAATGGTACTCTTCATAACTAAAAACGTGAATATGCTGTTCTTTGCTGCTGCTGCAATGGCGGTTGTCCTTGCTGTTGTTGAAGACGAACTTGTTGGGAGTAGGGATCCTCAAGAGATTTAACAAAAATGGTGGTTTTTGGCCCAGTCTTCCAAACAATGCCATTTAAGTCTTTTACAGAAGACTCTACCGTGATATTATGGGTGCCAAGAATTGCAAAGTTCAACAGAAACTGAGTGCTGAAATAATCGTTGTGTGGTTCCACCCTCTGCTCCATCTCATTGATCATGTTGTCAATAGGGATCTGAGAATACATGGAGGATCAGAATGTCATTTTAGATAACTTGTTAAAAGAAATGTTCAGACTGTGACAAGCTACTCCTTATTCTGCGTGGTACAATATGGAAAGACAAATGAGAAAAATATATTAACTCTGTTCTCACTTGTCCTATATCAACTGGGGCCTGATTTTGAGCTAGGCCTCACCCAACCTCCATTGGTGGGTGCAAATGAAGTTCCACAATCTGAAGCCAATTACCACAACAATTAAGATGAGTTTCTGCTCCAGAGAGCCCCATGTGAGTGAAGTGTGAGTTTGCAGCCAGTCAGGACTAAGGTGCTCAGACACCTATGCATGAGGAAGACAAAACATTCCTTACCTGCACTAATCAATGCTAGAAGTTTTCCTTTCAAGAGCAGAAAAATTAGTAGAACACACATACAAACAAGAAACATGCATTTACATTTAGTACAAGAAACAGTGAGAATGAAGCATAAACACGATGAAAGGATGCTTGCTACAAACTGAGGTGACAGAAAGCTATGGTCTCCTCGACAGCTACTGTTCAGCAAAGCCATAGTTCATATTATGGCTCTATACTACCCATACCTTGTAGTCCTGTCCAGATTTGCTCTGCAGCGTTGAAGATACATTTAGACAGACAGACTGAATTTTGCGGAAGAGGCCTGGTTTGGAGCCATGCTGAACCACTCCTTCCACCTTTAAGGCAAGTTGTTGATTGTTTTGTACCGCAATAGGCTCTGCAGGATTCCTTGGAGATGGTGACAGAGCAAGCTGAAACACAGGAAATCAGAAGCAGAGATTATAGACTGAGATTCAAAAGTTATTTCTTCTAAGGAGAAATGTACAATTCATAGATACAAGGAATAGCTCTGGAAGGAGGAAGAAGCAATAGATGAAAATACAGAACTGAAATGGAAGAGGAGAAAGAAGTCTCCTAAAGCACACAAGAATTAATAAAGGGAACTGGGAACAAAAGACATGCTCTTTACATCAGTTACACATCTGTGAAAGGAACTCCTTAATCAGCACTTTCTAAATACCCCAAATTACAGACCAGATTCAAAGACTATTTTGCTTCGCTGTTCCTAAAAGATCTAACTGTCAATATTCCCCACCCCTAGTTGAAAAGCAAATCCACTAAGTTCCAAGGCTCCACTCTATTTCCCTCCTCAATGGTTCCATTTCATGCCTGTTTGTCCTGCTAACTGAGGATAACAGTAATGCTGTTCAGTCTAAGACTGTAAGCAACACTTATAAATGAGTAAGGAAGGCTGCTGCAAAGTGATAGGAGGTGTTCCCTCAGGAATTGAGCATTTCCTAGCGTTACCTGTCAGACTGAGGAAAGTCAGTGACAGATTTTATCTTTTAGGCTCTACAATTATTACGAAGTTTAATTCTGTTTGCTTGTAAGATTTCTTAAGGTTAGGACTTGAATAATCTTATGTACACATACTTCAAGTTATTCAAAATAGACCTAGGCTCAAGTTTTATTTGCACAACCAAGATGGCTGAAATTTTGTGCCTAAAGCAGGCTGATAACTCAGATGTGTAAAGTCCTGCAAATCTGCAGGTATCCACATCTGCAGATGTCAATTAAGATCTGCAGGTATCCACATCTGCAGATGTCAATTAAGATATCCATAGCTCATTTTTGCAGCTACAAATTTCGTATCCATGCAGGGCTATACAGATGTTGGTTTTAATGCACTTAGCAATAACATTGCAAAAGCCTACCTCCTTCAGGCAACAGATGGAACTGGCCAAGAGCTACAAAATATTACAATACTAATTTGATAAGAGCCCACATCTCAAAATACATACCATTTTATAGATATTCAGAACAATTAGGCTATGTCTACACTGCAGGTTTTTTGCTCAAGAACTGTTTTGCGCAAGAGCACATCCACACCGCCATGTGCTTTTGCGCAAGAGTGTCCATAGCAGTATGGGAGCTCTCTCTTGCCCAAGACAGCTTTGATGACCATTTTAGCCAAAGGAGTTTCTTGTGCAAGAAATCCGTTGCCCGTCCACACTGCCTTTTTGCACAAAAGCTCTTGTGCAAGAGGGCTTATTCCTTGTGGGGAGAGTTCTGACACTTTACTGTAAATTTACTTGCACAAGAATGTGCGTGCAGTGTAGATGCTCAAGTTTTTGCGCAAGAATGGCTGTCTTTTTGCAAGAAGCCTGCAGTGTAGATGTAGCCAGTGTGAAGTGGGAAATTACAGCATAAACTCTCCCCACAATCGTACACAGAGCAAAGAATGTTACAAGAGGCAGGCAATGTTTCATTTCAATGCATTTACATATGGATGCTGGGTAACATTTAAAAAAAAATGCATAAGGAAAGTATTTTCAGAAGTGATTAAGCTGCAAATGCCACATTTTAAAAAGGTATTTAGGCAAAGAAATACCTTTAAAAATCTGTCCCTTCCATACTAAATTTCACTGAGACTTAGAAATCTAATAAATCACTTCTGAAAAAAAGCAGTAAGTTCAAATCTAAAAAAGCATTCTTCTGAAAATTCTCTAGTCTTATTAACTTGCAAATATTAGCTACTGTGCATAACCAAATCAAAGGAATGTGTTATAAAATAATTTATTAAAAACACTAACTGATCCTATTTGATAGCTAAGTATTAAACTATAACTCAGCCAGTTATTCCTCCTCCCCCAATACCACACATTTAATTCTTTTAAACTTAAGCTGGTTAAGACATAATGGAAAACAACAAGAGAATCAAGTAAGTTCCAGTGTTATTTATGTGACCTAAAGAGCCTGGAAGAATTAAAAACACCCCTGCTTTTAGAAAACCCTCAAATCCCCCAAATTCGTTTCTGGGTTGAGACACTGCATTTTTGATGGAAGCGACAATAGACAGACAACTTCTTTACTCTAGCATGCGGAATTATACATAAAATGTATTTATTTTTAGGATGATTGTTGTATTTCCACATAAGATTCTTATGCATGAATTGTAATCTAAATCCAATCTGTGCACTGCTTACCTTAATACTTGTAGATTGCAATTTTTGAAAAAAATACCTTTGAAATGAAAGGGGAACTTTCAGCAAGGCAATGACTGCATTGCAAAGGCAAGCTGTGTGCTGTGAACAAAGACAAAGAGAATGAGATGAAATCCATCTAACAGCAATATGAAAAAGCAGGTACTTCAAGCATTAACACCGCAGTCATTTCCACTGATGGTATGTCTACTCAGCAACATAGTCCGTATTTACACAGCAGGCATTTATTTTGAAATAATGTCCAAATACTATCAAGCTGGAGGACTGCTTATTCCCACTCCTGTAACCCTCACTGTACAAGGAGTAAGGGAAGTCAGAGGAAGAGTGCTCTATTTCAAAGTAAGTGCTGTGCAGACTCTCCCAATTTCAAAATAAGCTACTATGCAATTGATGTAGCTCAATTTGCGTAGCTTATTTTGAGTTAAGCCTTGCTGTGTAGACATACCCTAAGAAACCAATAAAGATACTACCAAGGTTGCAAGAGAGTACAAATTTATTAGCAGAGATGGAAAGAGGCTACTGTATCATCAGGGCTCTCTTCTGGAAAAGCAGAACACAGAATGTCCTGGCCTGACAGCACAAAACAGTCAAAAAGAACCTACAAGGAATACATGTAAATGTTATTTAAGATGTAATGTAAGAGTGCTGAGGTCAGTGGAACTGTGCCCATTTATAAGGCTGATTTTAGTACACTGATATTTATATCTACTTTTATAAAAATAACAGATTCCCCTGTCTCACACATGTAAGTCAGGAGTAGTGCCACTGGAGTCAATGAATACACTAATCTAAAACAGGTATGATGGAGAATGAAGCAAAGAGTTCAGTTTAGTTTTATAAATTCAACACAAGAGATTGTAATAATCTTCCAAAGTTTACACTGGCTATTTTTATTGCTCACTTTAGAATAAATTAGCAATATCAGAGTTTAAATAAGTAGATGCAAAATACTGTACATGAAATATGGTTTTCAGTAATTTGCATTTCTGCTTTATCATGGACAGTAATGTTCTCAGAAACAATAGTACTAGTACCGTACAGCAGTGAAGGAAATAAACTGTATGTTATCAGTTCTGTATTTGTGTATAGTACAATTTGCATTGTGGTTATGATGACCTGCACTGGTAAGAGAAACACTACACTTGCCATGTGCTGTGCTGAAATATCACTGGGGTGATAAACAAAACAAAGCTGAAAGGCTGTGACACATGGACTCTGTAGCATTTCACATATGCCTTGACAAGATTGCTGCATGACAAATGATACGAATAATTAAAGCCAGGATAGGCTATGTTAATGTTGACATTCTTTAACTTTTATTGTAGTGCCTCCCCCAAGACAGTAGCATATCAATTTGTATTTTTCAACTCTTATGCGTTCTAATCAGACCATTAATGTTACAAATGCTGTAACTAGTGCCGTGGAAGATGAAAAACACTATTGGTATGTGAGCTACCACCAACTTTGCTTCATTCTTCAAGCTAATTTTATTTAATTTCATTGCTCCAAGCGCAACATTATCATTGATACCCCTTATTCATTAGAGAACACATATGCTAGTTGCAGACAATGCTAATGAAGAGCTGAGTGTATATCCCTCAACATCAAGGAAACAAGTTGCAGGAAGTTTTAGAAACCTCTCTTTGTACTGTATCTGATACTTGCCAAGTAGGACACAGGAGCATATTTCCTGTTCAATGATTCTACTTCCTCTAACACATGATTAAATACAGACATCATTCTTCTTTCATATTCACTGTCAACATGCACTGCTCCACTTGAGCTGCATTCCTGAAAACTAGAAGAAAAAGCTATTTTAATTGGGCCTGATATACTCCATCTATTCTAGGCAAGTCCCCAAACAAGTCCCAACAAGATTGCTGTCTATTCCACCTTTAAGTATTCTCAATAAGGAAGATTTCACAACCCCTTTTAAACAGCATGTTCTGTTCTTTGACTATTCTGATACTGCAATTATAATAAATCCCTTCTATTTAAAGCTAAGTTTTTCTTAGTTTGGCCATTACTTTGTATTGCCCTTATACCATCATTTTACACAGACAGATGTTTCTTCTACTCCTTCCTGCAGTCAATATCTCTAATTCCACTACCTTTTCTTCATAAGTTCTACTCTTTAAACTGTGCATTATTTTTTACTACTGTTCCCTAATACTCTCTATTTTGTCCAAGTCTTCCAGCGACTAGAGTCAAAGGAAGTTCTCCAATTGAGGCCCTACTGCTGCAGACTAATATAGGATAATCTTGCTTTGTCTCCCTAACCCAAACAACAGTCCTGTTAAAAGCCCAACCCTGCACTCCAGTGCACATACAGAAGCTGTGTAGATGCAGAATTAGGACCCTAATTTCCTTTCTGCAACACTGAGAATCATTAAATCTCATTCATTAGAAACTTGTGACAAGATGGTTGTGCCTACAGGTCAGTCCAATCTGGCATGTGGCTTGGCCTGTCAAGGACTGATTGCTCCAGAGTGTGTATGTAAAAAGGACCTAACAGAGAGGAAGTGGCCTTGGCAATAAATGGTGCTTGGGAGAAAAATCCCATCATTGTTTCTTTAAGGGCCAGGAGCCTTGCAGAGAGGGCTGGGTAAGTCTCCCCTCTTGTCCAAGCCAAGTGAGGATAAACTGAGAGACAGGGACCAGTATAAATGCTTTCTCCCTCATAGCAGAGCAGGCAACAGTAAGAGAAGGCTGCCCTCTAGATTCTCCTAGCCTGAGAAGTAACTAAGGAAAAAGGAGCTGAGGGAGAAATCTGACTAAGGCCCTACAGCTGGCTAAGCTTTCCTCCTTGTGGCAAGGAGATAATTGAGGACTTTTATTTAAGGTGAAAGAGGTAATAACTGCTGGAATTACTCAGCTCCAGAAGGAGAGCTAAGGGGCTCCTGCCCAATGTTCCCTCTAGTCTTTCCAACCTATGCACAGAATTTCCATGTGCACTGAGGCACATGTGAATGTCACCAATAGAGAGTTTCAAAGGGTCTGATTTAGCTCTCATTAACTTAGACCCAAATGAAGGTATTTTATAGTGCTAACCAGTCTTATAGGATGAAAAAGTTATCCATTTTGTCATTCCTCTGAAGTCAATGGAGTTACACCGGAGAAACATGTAGCTTATGAAGAATCTTAAGGTCTCCAGAACAATGAGAGAGAATGCATGCACGGAGTGAGAGGGAGAAGAAGCAGATGAGAAAAACCCAGAAGTCGTCACTGGTATGAATGAAACAAACACAGCAGAACAAACAACAGAGGAACTATGGTTTTGACTCAAAAATATCTATACCTAAAAACAGCTCAATTCTTAAGAGTATCTTTTACCTAAAAATGAAATTAATTTTGCAAGACTAAACACAATTAAAGGACAATTTGAATGCAAGCTACCAGCATATCTTCAAAAAGAAGCTTAACAAGATCAAAGATTTTCAGCAGATTTGTGTATGTAAACATGCCAAGTGTAGCATTAACATTTACAGGACTACTACATTTTTTCCTTGTTAGCTTTCTAGTCTAAAAGACCCTGTGGAGTTGGAGAGATGGGAGTGGAGAGTGTAGAAGGGTTACTATTAGACTTACCTGGCAGATTCTGGATCCAAAATCAGGGCTTCAATTGCATGTGAAATCAGTAGGCAGCTCTGCTGTTGTCTGACATTATTAGTAAAGATTTATAGACATGATATTGCAACACAAAGGAAATACAACTAAAAATGCTAGTAAGAAGTAACAACTAAAGAAATATCAGGAGGTAACTGCCATAAATATCTGCACCAGCTACACGGCAAGACCCAAAGTTTTTCAAGAGCGTACCCATAAAAGCTTGTGTAATAAATGAAGCAATTACAAATTACAAAAGAACATTAAGGGAGGGAAGGGGTGACATTTTTTAAATAGGTTTCAAAATACCAATATTGAGATTTTTAAAACAGTGATTAGTGATTTCAGAATTAGACTTCATATACTAGGATTGTTGAGCATTACATCACCCTTACAAGCAACCTCAAAAACAAAACAAAAAAAAAATAAGCAAATTCTGAGTTTCAGAATGAAGGATACAATTCTACATTCCTTAAAGTTGCTGAGTCTGCATCGAAAGATGACTGATACAGATCCCCATATCGTGTGGCCAGGTTACGGAATTCTTCCATAGAGAGTTTCATCTAGACCAAAGAAACAATGCTGAAATAAAAATACCATAGCTATGTTCTACAATATTGAACTGAGCAAGGCTTCATATTCTAGTAATGTATTACTATCCTACTTTGCTGAAACCTCTTTTTTTTTTTTTTTTTTTTTTTTTAACAGGAGTAAGCTAGATCAGTCTGGGCAACCTGTAGCCCAGCAAGAGTATTTGATTGTGGGCTGCAAGATATTTTGCTTATGTTGACCTTTCGAAGGCACTGCCCCTGCAGCTCCCAGTGGTTGCAGTTCTCTGCTCCCAGCCAACAGGAACAGTAGGAAGCAGCAACGAACACGTCCCTGTCCTACAGTTTCTTCATCTATAGGTACCACCCCCACAATTTCCATTGAGGTGGAACAGAGAACAGTGACCACTGGAAGCTGCACTGGGAAATGGGAGGGGAGTGTTAGCCAACGGTTAGGGCAGTGAGTGAGAGTGAGAAGCAAAATGCAGGACAATGTAGCACTTTAAAGACTAACAAGATGGTTTATTAGATGATGAGCTTTCGTGGGCCAGACCCACTTCCTCAGATCAAATAGTGGAAGAAAGTAGTCACAACCATAGATACCAAAGGATACAATTAAAAAAAATGAACAAATATGAAAAGGACAAATCACATTGCAGAACAGAAGGGGGATGCGGGGGGGTGGGAAGGGGGAGGAAGGAAGGTAAGTGTCTGTGAATTGCTGATATTAAAGGTAGGGAGAGTGGGATGTTTGTGAGTTAATGGTATTACAGGTGATAATTGGGGAAACTGTCTTGGTAATGGGTGAGAAAGTTCAAAGACTTGTTACGTCCTTGTTGGCAAGTGTCGAATTTTAACATGAATGACAGTAGTGAGAGTGAGAGTGACCGAGAAAAGGGTTTAACGTTTGTGACTTTACTGCTAGGACCGGGGTTTTGTTGCAGAGGGCAGCCAACAGGCTGACAGACGCCCCTGTTTATAGGAAGAGCTTATCACACCTTAGATTTTAGCTGCTAGGATATAGGATTTCTTTGCAGCGGGCAGTTTAGGGAAGACTGAGAGATGCCCCAACAGATTTTTTACCTGGGAGTGACACGATTTAAACGCCCAAGCTTTTTTTAATACCTGTTTATGATCAGCTGAAGTTTTTTTACATTGTGCTTGGTTTTGTTATAGCGACTGAAGGAGTTAGGTTAAAAACTTAAACAGTTACAGGTTTATTAAAAAAAAAAAAAAGACATAAAAGCATATGGTTATAATGGCTATTGCTTTTTTTTTTTTAACTGCTAGCAAATATCGATTTTAAAAATGGTTACAAAGAAAATAAAGATAGAAAATAGAACTAATGGTAATAAGTGACAGCTTAATTTTTAAAGAGCTTTAAGTTTGTGTGTACACTTAAGACAAAGGACCACATTTAGATACAATTTTTACCCCTTTTTGTGCCTTTTGACTTCAGCGGGTCAAGCCAGGGCCGGTCCCTTAATTTTTAGGAAAGACGAATATGAGGTGGGCGTTCCCGTGGAACCTCGGGAGGTCAAACACCTAACCCGACCAGCAGATAAGTGTCAATCTACCATCTAAGAGTAAATGTGCTGTTGGACCCATCTTTATACCCCTGGGGGCCCGTATGCTTTTTTTTATTTTAAGATGCCAAATTGTACTGGTCCGTTTTGTGGTGCCAGTTTTTACAAGGGAGTTTTAAATAATTTACACTTGTAAAAGAGGAAGATAGCTAAATTAGGAGTGCCGAATACTTTTTGCTGGGCAAAAAAATGTTTTCCCTGCAAATGGCTGTGTGTTTGCATCAATATGGGTTTAAGTTAAGGGCACGCCTTTGCAGCCTCTTGGTTAGCAATTGGCATATCTCTGTTTACAGCCATTTAAAGTTACAGCAGCCTGCAAATCCTAAGCCTCCTGCTCAAGGCTTTTACAGCTTTGTGTGCCCTGCATGCTCCAGGCAAGCAAAAATGGATGTTAGAAGGGGGGTTCTTGTCTAGCTACAGGGAGTAAAGGAGGGAGGGCACTGTTTGGTGCCTGCAAACGATCAATGTCAGCAAAAATGTTTCACAGCCCATATCTAAATACCTCAATGAGCTGCAGGTTGCCCACCAGTGTATTGGATATTACAGAATAAATCGTGCTCATTGACTAAGCTGTTATTTCTAACCCTATGAACAAAATGCTAAGACACCATTTAATAACCGTTGTGTCTCATATACTTTTGATGAAGCAGTACCGCACATCTGCGATGAGTCTAGCAGCTGCTCATCTGTTATTTTGTACGTCAGAGTTATTGTCTACCCTAAAGCTCCTCTATTTAGGCTGCAGGCACCTCAGGACAGTATAATACCTCCAAAATATTCCCTATCCTTATAAAATAGGAGTGCACTAACTGGGTAATTGCATATGTAACCACTGCATGATTATATATAACTAGATTTACCTGGTGTTGCTCAGGTTCTTAACTCAATTTTTGTTTTTCTTCATTTAAATCATTGCTCTGAACGTGGCTGAGGATGAGGGGTTCAGTATGCAGGCTGCTTCAGAGAGTGAGGACTATCCCAGCCCTCTCTCACATGAGCAGCTTGGGGACAGGTGAGAAACACCTCTCCTTGGACCCTGCACTTCCAGCAGATACAGGTGGAGAAGGGGTACATATCTCCCAGCTGGGGCAAGTCCAAGTTTGACTGCCCTTTATTCTACCCAGCCAGAGTAAGGAATGCAGCAAACTGAGATTCTGTCTCTTTTCTGTATGGTTTTATAAGAAGCAATTCCATTACAGGAACATCCCATTTTCCTACCACAGCCAAACCCTTACCTTGCTTTATATTATGGTAAGAGAAAGCTGTATACTGAATGTGGTGGACCTAGTTCTTACCATTTTGGAGGGGTTGAACAAACAGCCAGACAACTCTCTCAAATATATAGTAGATGACACACCTAAATGAGGGCTTGCAACGGGCACATGAACATTTGTGGGCACCACACTTGTAAAACAAAGCCCCGTATGAAATGACAAGCTCAGGAATACTTTCCATTTTCATTCCTTGAATCACAGAGCTAAATTTCCTCATCTCATCAGATGAGCCAAGTTCAAATAAAATCACACAAGAGAAACCATGAACACATGCCTGGTTAGAGATGCGCCCACACCTCTGGAGGTCATTTCCTGATGTCATTGCAATTGTTGTGGCAATGGCAGGTGGAGGACTAGTTTTTAGGCTGTTACAGGTACAGATGAGTTGAGAGAATGCTTGCAAAACATCAATCCTGAGCTTCACAAACCCACATTGAAAGCTCAGAGGGTTAAGTGGTGTGCTGGCAGCCTGAAAAACAAATAAAACCAGGAGGTGGATAGTCTGGGTCTAAAACACATGCAACACCCACATTTTTTAAAACTCAGGACAATATCACACAAATTAACTGATTTGTGGTTAAAAAGGCACAATAGCAAACAAGACCTAATAAAAGTTTTAATATTGTATAAAAGTTCGTAGGAATGCAAGTTCAGACTCCACAAGTCTGACAGAAAGGACCATTTTAACCTCTGAAAGAAGTGACCATTTAAGTTGCTAAAATACAACCTTATCAGTTTCCCTGTGCCCCACAAAGCTGACCTGAGTAACTGGAGTCTTTTCAGTGGATGGGACAGCCCTTTAAGGTTCAACAGCAACTACATCTAGTTATCTACCTTTAGGATGATGAGTTTGGGAATAAGCTAATGGTTGGGTCAGATGACCAGGCATCACATGCTAGCCCAGAGGTAGTGTTTCTTAAAGGGATAGAGCTGCAGAAGACCCAGCATTACAGGGGACTAAGGTAAGAACTCTCCACATCAACAAGAAGGTCTAGCAGCTGCAACTACCTGCAATGATAGGAGGAAGCAAAAATCCTCAAGGGGCAATAAGGTAGGTCTTGAGGAAGAACATTTAAAAAAGCAGGTGGCCTGGAACAAAGTGCAGATGCTGCTGAAAGGACTTGGTAAGTGTACTTATTTGGGATCTAAGCTGGAACTTCCACTGTTATGGGAAGATGCAAGGAACTGCCATGTGCTGTGAGAACCCTAATTGAGGGTCTTCCCATTTTCAGTGTTACATGGCTGGACATCTATTTTGTTGATCAAATGTTACCTTAATAAACAAAATCCCTTATGGGATGTCTGTCTTGCACAAACATTTGGCACAGTTTAGAGAATGGGGATAACAACAACAGAAGGTTCTGATGCTGGATGAAGCAAGACCCTGTTTCACTGCCCTAAATGCAGATCTAAGTTTCTGTACTTCCTCTTCTTGAAGTTATGCTCATCTTATTACCCCCTACTATTCTAAAAAGGAGGAAAGCCTCTTCTTTTATCCACAGAATCAATTCAGCAAAACTTGCACACACTTAGTCATTAGTGTTTCTCACCGAACATCACTAGTAGAAATTGTTTCTGGCAGGGAGTGAGTGGGAAAGTTACTGTCACCTACCAAATTTGTGCAAGATGGACCACTCCAACAGTTGCCAGATTATAGTGGTTTTTCAATAATAACTAGGATACATTTGAACCAGTGACCAGAGACACCACATTCTAGCAAATTAGCTATGACCTATCCAACCCTGCTCAAAGCCCTTTCTTTCCTTCTCCAAATCTGTAAACAGACAGTTCTGGAAGGGAAGTTGTTCAGAGGGTTTTTTTGCTTCAGAAAATTTGATTCTGTTGAAGGAAGTTCATACACTGTATAGGTATTAGTCTCAAAACTATACTACAGTGACCCTGACAAAGCAGCATTTATGATGCAAACTCCAACCATGTAATAATAATAATATAATTTATTCATGAGACCATAGTATTTTCTCTCCCTCCATTTGTAATACTTTTATTGGGCAGAAAGCATATAATTTCATGTATAATAGATGCTCTTTGCTGAAGACCAGGCCCTGTCCCAAAAAGTCTAATTTCCTATATGAGCAAATAAGACAGTCTTGTCACAGATGAATAGTGATAGAAATGTAGCCGTGTTAGTCTGGTGTAGCTGAAACAAAATACAGGACTATGTAGCACTTTAAAGACTAACAACATGGTTTATTAGATGATGAGCTTTCGTGGGCCAGACCCACTTCCTCAGATCAAATAGTGGAAGAATGACTATTTTCTTCCACTATTTGATCTGAGGAAGTGGGTCTGGCCCACAAAAGCTCATCATCTAATAAACCATCTTGTTAGTCTTTAAAGTGCTACATAGTCCTGTATTTTGTCACAGATGAAGATTGGAACTGGAAAACTGAAGAATAAAGTTGCTTATGATAAACTGTTAGGTTATGTAGAAGAGAAAGTTTCAAACTCAGATGTTGGAAAAAAAAAAAAAAAAGAAGAGTTGTGTACATGGTCAGAAGGAATCATGTAGCTGCAGCAAGAAGTTACTCGCCCTGTGTAGTAACAATGGTTCTTCGAGATGTGACCCGTGGGTGCTCCACGCTAGGTGTTGGGTCCATCCCAGCACCACTGGTCGGAAGATTTCAGAGCCATATCTGGCCGGACCGCGCATGATCTCTGTGCTACGGGGCATTTGCGCCCTTTCTAACGTGAGCGGTTCGGTCCCCGCCAGTTCCTCTCACCGCTTGGTCTCTGAAACGAGAAATGAGAGAAAAACCTGGAGCAGGGAGGAGGGCAGGACACGGAGCACCCACGGGGCACATCTTGAAGAACCATTGTTACTACACAGGGTGAACAACAACTTCTTCTTCTTCTTCTTCAAGTGGCCCTGTGGGTGCTCCACTCCAGGTGACTGTATAGCAGTAGCCGGAACAAGAAGTGTTCCAGGTCAATTAGTTTTCGCAGTAAATTGGACTGCGGAAACCACCACATGATCCGCTGCCCATCTTTGCACTACAGCGTAGTCTCTCATGAATGAAGTGCTGGAAGCCCACGTGGCTGCCCTACAAATATCTACTAGTGGAACCCCCTGGCGAAGGCCGTAGATATTGCCACTGCCTTGGTCGAGTGTGCTTGTGGTTGAGAAGACAGAGGTCTGTCCCGAATAGAGTGGCATGTGGTTATGCATAGGGTGATAAGCCTGGCAATGCGTTGAGTAGAGAGCGCAGCGCCCTTGGATCGTTGAGCTGTTGATACCAAATGTCTATCTGTTCGCCTCCACTGACAGGTTCTGTCTATGTAAAAGTAAAGAGCGCGCCTTACATCAAGCATATGTAGCAGGGCTTCCTGCAGCTTAGGGTAAAATAAGGGAAGGACAATCAGCTCGTTGATGTGAAACAACGAGACCACCTTGGGAATGAATGCTGGATGTAATCGTAGCATCACCGATTCTTTCAAGAAAGGAGTGAAAGGGGTATTTGCCATTATCGCTCCCAGCTTGCTGACTCTATGTGCTGATGTAATTGCAAGTAAGAAGACGGACTTCATAGTTAGCATCTGCAAGGCAACAGATGCTAGTGGTTCAAATGGGGGATACATAATCATATCCAGTACTAAGTCAAGGTTCCAGGACGGTGGGGGTGGTCTTCAAGGTGGGCTTATATTGATAAGGCCTTTGAGGAATCATTCAGTAGTCGGGTGAGAAAACACTGAAGAACCCTGTATCGGATGGCTGCCAAATGAACTCTAAGGGCGAAAGCTTCAAATTTTGCAAGTGAAGAATGTATTCAAGGATTTGATGTAAAGGAGAAGACTGCATTTGGACGTTATTACGGAGGCACCAGTAGGAGTATCTGTGCCATTTAGCCAGGTAAGTATTGCGTGTAGATGCTTTTCTGCTATGCATCAGTATAGACTTGACCTGTTCTGAACAAAATTTTTCGTCTTGTCTGAGCCAGTCAGGAGCCACGCCGTCAGGTGCAGTGCTTCTAGTTTGGATGTAGGAGAAATCCCTGTTCTTGAGAGAGGAGATCCCATCATGAGGGTAGAGGCCACGGTGGCTGTACGGATATTCTGTGTAAGAACAGATACGAAACTTGTTTGGGCCAAGCTGGTGCTATTAGGATTACAGTTGCGGCTTCCGTTCTAATTTTCTCCAGTGTTCCGGGAATGAGGACCGTTGGGGGAAAAGCATACAGGAGTGTCCTTTTCCAGGTGGTTAATAAAGCATTGCCAAGAGATCTCTTGATGACCCCTGCTCTAGAGCAAAAAAAGCGATACTTCTTGTTGGTGGTTGTTGCAAACAGATCCACTAGGGGCATGCCCCATCTGTGGAAAATCTTTTGAAGCACATTCTGTCTTATTTCCCAATTGTGGTCTATGGGGAAGCACCTGCTCAGGGAGTCAGCAATGACCTTGGCTGTGCCAGGTAAGTAGGATGCTGTTATGGTGATGTTGTTCTGTATGCACCAATTTCAGCACCACACTGCTTTGACGCATAGGGAGCATGATCTTGCTCCTTCCTGCCTGTTTATAGAATATACTGCCGGTACGTTGTCTGTCAGCACCCTGTCTTGTCTTTTAAGTGTCGGAGGAAATGTCTGCATGCTAGAAAGATCGTTCACAGCTCTAATTGGTTGATGTGAAGACATCTCGGTGTGCATTCTGTCCCTGTATGCATTCCTCGCTTGTGTGAGCACCCCATCTGATGAGTGAAGCATCTGATGTTAGCTGAACGGATGGGTATGACTGATGGAACGGTACTCCCGTCAAGATGTTTGATGCATTCGTCCACCATCACAGGGACATGTGCACATGGGATGGAGGTGAAACTAACTTGTGGATGTCGTGTCTTGTGGGGACATACACAGTTGACAGCCAGTTCTGCAGATTTCTCAGATGGAGGCATGCATGCAGGATGACAAAGGTGGCTGCAGCCATGTGGCCCAGCAGATGTAGGCAGGTATGGACTGAGATTGTTGGGATCTTGCTGAGTAGACTGACCAGGTCTTTTATTGCCTGGAATCTGTCCGTGGGTAGATACGCTTTTGCCGCACGGGAGTCGAGAACTGCCCCTATGAACTTTATATTTTGCATTGGAATCAGTGTTGACTTTTGTTAGTTTACCATCAGTCCGAGAGAGTCGAACGCTTGTCTGACCGTTGTGAGCATCTGCATCGTTTCTTCTCGTGATGTGCCCTTTATCAAACAGTTGTCCAGATAAGGAAATATGATGACTTGAAGATGACGAAGATGAGCGGCAACAACAGCGAGGGTCTTTGAAGATACCCTTGGAGCAGAGGCCAGCCCGAACGGAAGGATGCAATACTGAAAGTGCTCGTTGTTTACGAGAAAGCGCAGGAATTGTCTGTGCGCAGGGTATATGGCTTTATGAAAATAGGCATCTTGCAGGTCGAGGGCTGCGAACCAGTCGTTGTCTAGAGATGGACTGATTGTAGTCAGAGTTACGAT